ACAGCTTTACACGGTCTTCATTCCCACACACACACACGCCAGAGCAAGGCGCTAACCTGCCATCGGAACATCGATTTGGGGTTCTCGCCCTCGTCACACCCCTCTTCATCTCCCTCCACTGGCTTCCTGTTCCTGCCCGTATGAAATTCCAGGCCTTGATGCTCACATACAAGAGCTTGGAACAGCACTCTCCTACCTCAACTCTCTCCTGTAGGCTTACGTTCCCTCACGCAACCTGCGATCGGTTAACGACCGGCGCTTTGCCTACTCGGCGTGGCTCAAGGCGCCATTCCAGAACCTTCACACTAACCGTCCCTCAGTGGTGGGATGAACTTCCGACCTCGATACGGACGGCGGAATCTGTCACTATCTTCAAAAACACAGCTAAAGACCCAGCTCTTCCGTGAACACCTAACCAACCCCTAAAACACCAACTCTCACATTATTAAAATATATATATATATATATAAATAAATAGAAACTTACTCTGTCTCTTACACCTCGACTCTGCGCACTTTGCTTTCTCTAGAACGCAATTAAAAGATCTTGCATGGTAGCGCTGCTAGTATTGTTCTCCGCGTTGCTTGTATTTCCTCATTAGCTTTGGATGAAAGCGTCTGCTAAATGAATAAACGTAGATTTAAATAGAAACTCGTCGTGTTCAGATGTCGCCGTAGCAACGGGTCGGAAAATCTTAAACGCTACGGTCAAACCTCAGAATCAGACACTTTAAGGACTCCACATATTCATATTTTGCTATTAATACTAGCACCGTATTTGAGAAATTTATCTGTAGGCTTAGCCGCTTTTCTCCGAGTCTACCTCGCCTTTAAGAAAGCTCTTCTTAGTATCGGAGAGCTAGCAGTTAATAAGTTCCCCAAAGAGTTATAGCTTTCCTTAGGTCATTGCCATCCTGTAACGCGAAGTGTGTTGTTCCACTTCAAACAGAGACATGTCTTATTGGAAGTCTCGCTTGAACTGTTGAACGTCACGTTTAACGTGATGGAACGTCTGCAAGACAAGTCAATTCTTCTTATTGTTTACGTTGAGACAGCTATAATCATTCATCTCCCCCTGCATCTCCTTTTCCCTCTCTCTCCCTCTCTCTCTCTCTCTCTCTCTCTCTCACACTCAAAGTTCATTAACTTCACCATAATCACCTATTCTTTGTTAAACACCCCCCTGTTACAGAGCCATGTGCTTACTGAAAGTTAATGCACACCTTCTGACTCGAGGTGCTGTGACGTGACCTGTAATAAAATATTATGAGAACCTCAAGGGGTTCAGCCAGATCGTGACTCATAAGACGGCGGGATAAGCGAGGAAAGATTTTCACTGTGCTTTAACGTAGGCCTATGTGTGACACATAAAGGCTGCTTCTGGACGGGTGTCCTGTACGTACCTGCCGAACTCACCTGTCCAAGAAAAGACAGAGGGAGACTCGGTTTTTAACTACACAGCAAATTCGTCAGTGTTGATTTCCCAGAGTTAAGGCGTTTCACAGTGAAGGGTTGAGGTTCTAGTGTTAGATCTTGAGAAGTGAACTCTGAGAGTGTAGAAGCTGGTTTAACATCAGTGTAAAATCACAGAGTTCTAGATCACCGACATCGCCCGGATTTTGAACGTTCCAGACGCCATCTTTTTTTTTTTTTCTCGCTGAAAAGGATGAAAAAAAAGAAAAAAGCAACTGGTGAGTAAAGCTACTTAAAAGTTTGCATTTGACAGACTTTCTGTGTGGAAATATACTTGTATAATGGCGGATGGGGCGGCTGGGGCGGCTAGGGCAGCTAGGGGCGGATGTGGTGCAGTTGGTAGAGCGGGTTGTCCACTAATCGTAGGGTTGGCGGTTCGATTCCCAGCCTGGGTGTCCCCACATGCCGAAGTGTCCTTGGGCAAGACACTGAACCCCAAGTTGCTCCCGATGGTAAGCTAGCACCTTGCATGGCAGCTCTGCTACCATTGGTGTGTGAGTGTGTGAGTGTGTGAATGAGACACAGTGTAAAGCGCTTTGGATAAAAGCACTATATAAGTGCACATTTACCATTCGTATAAGTACATGTTACGTCTTCTTTTTTTTCCCCGTGTGGTGCCTAAAAGCATGAATTTCACATTTACACCGCGTTTCTGTCTCAGCGTAGGCTATTTTATTGCAATGTAAGCGTAACACTTTTTGGGCCACTTATAATTCTGTCAATTTTAGTATTTGATTTAAGTTTCTCAACATTTCTAAAAAAAACACGTGTAAGTTTTCCAAAGTTGCCAGATTGCTAATATTGTTCCCGTTTAGAGAATAGCTAGCTAATTATCTGGAAACTTGAAATTGTGAAAGTGTTTTAAACGGTTAGGTTTATCAGTTTTCTCACTCGACCTGGGTTTTTGTTAAGTTTTAGAATTTCTTTGCCGGAAGAAAAAAAACAAAAAAACAAAAAACGCGGTAAAACCTATTAACGCAAATAATGCAGCATGTCATTTCCCCCCCCACTTCCTGTGGGCTGGAAGATTATGGCCTTTAAATGCAATTCGTCTTATATTTTAATCGAGTCGTGGCATTTTGATGTTCTGAAATGTTCGCTGACGGTTGAAGTGTGAGTGGACAGAACTCAAACGCATGAATGAAGACAGTACAGAGAGAATATCATCCAACACATCAAGAAACAGCTGGGAAGAAGAGCGTTGAGCGTTCATGTCCTGGTCAGGTATGATAATCCCTTCTCACGTGTTATGAAGCAGGGCCGGACAGTGGGAACGTTGCACTCGCATTTGCGACTAAAAATAAGATGTGTGCGAACTTTGAAATGATTTAAGGAGCACGTGAGTGTATTAAAAGTGTTACAAAAGCAGCAACTTTATTTTTTAAAATAATGACTCTGTCACTGCACTCAACCAGTACTATACGCTGAAGAAGAAGAAGAAGAAGAAGAAGAAGAAGAGGAAACCACGTGATCCAGTCGTCAGGGCAACGGGCGCTCTAGACCAGTGGTTTTCAAAGTGGGGTCCACCAGGGGGCGCCCGGGGGGCCTCAACAATTAAATTCTCACTCTCAGACAACCACGCACAATCAATTCCTAATGTAATGTAATGTAAAGATTTAACTATTAATATAAAAAAAAAAAAGGGGGGGGGGATATATTCTGAATTCTGTATTTTTAATGTGTTTTAAAGACACCTTGCAAAAGGGGGGACTCGGTCAAACGTTAATGCCATTTGAGAGGCCTTGCGCTGGAAAAGTTTGGGAACCCCTGCTCTAGACACCACTACCAACAAAATGCCATTACAAGGCATTAGAAATGTTCTTTAATGGAAATGTTACCACGAATTCTATTACTGTTGCGTAATAACATGCAGTAAAATAATAAAGGTAACACTTTACAATTAGGTTCAATTTGTTGTATTGGTTAACTCCGTTACCCAGTTACACTACACACGTTAACATGAGCTAACAATAAAAAAAAAATACCTTAACTAGAATGAATAAATGTGACGTCATAGTTTCAGATTTGCTCTGGTTTCTACGTAGTTTTGTGTGTGTGTGTGTGTGTGTGTGTGTGTGTATCACACTATCTACAACACTACATCACTACAATCTACAACATTGATGTTGGTCTCCCAGAGTAAAGGAATTGCGTGCAAGGCTTCTGAATTAGGTTAATTGTTGGTGTTTCTGTTGTCAAAGTCTGCGTGCAAGTAGCCACTCTTTGATATCTCTCATCTGAGTGTCCATTCACGCGGGGTTTGTTACATCTAAGATATCGTGTTGAAAATAAAAGTTCAACTTGATACAGCGACTGACGTGTTAGCGGTTCTTTAATTGACGAGTATACACACAGACTACATTTAATGACCTCGATCTGGGTATGAACACTATGTAGTGTTGAAAATGACTCCCTGAGCGTTGAGCTATTGGCGCCTCAACACTTGTTTAGTGTGAATTAAACTCTTTGAAATTTGCTGTCTAGGCTGCGCAAGATTGGACTCGGAAACTGTTTGAGTCTGTCACGTAAATGGATTGTGATTGGGTAGAATTCAATCCGTAACTAATCGCACAGTTCCTTTTACACTCAGAGTAATGACGCCATCACGTGGACGCCCAGGGTAGTACACCTAGACCTGTAGCACATGCTTAGTTAGCTTTAAAGTAATACTAGGATTTGGATTTATAAAAGAGGGTTTAAGAGGTAAATTGATTCATTTATTGATTGATATATATATATATATATATATATTTTCATTCTACATTTATGAACTTAACTGGATGCTTGAAATAATTAGATGTTAAGCTGACCCTATTCAGTTCATACCACACAGTCATTGGCTGGATAAGAGAAGAGGCCACTGAGATTTTTAGTCTAAATACAAGGGTTTTCTTTTCTTTTCTTGTAATTATAATTGATACGTATTGAATTTCAGTAATACTTAAGTATTATTTTGTTATATTTATGCTTTACTTACTTAAGTATAGTAACAAAGTACTATTATTGACGTATCATCCACCCCTGGTTATTACATACGAATGTTCTGATATGAAATATTAAGGTTTTTTGGTTTTTTTTTTCTTTAGACTGGCAGAAGTTATTACACATGACCACTTGGGGGCATCAGCTCTTTTTGAATGTGCACATCGACATTATGCTGATAGTGGTACGAGAAACGAATATCTAAATATACTCATGTGTCTAGTTTTTGAACTGGTTAGGCATACAGAAGAAAAGAATAGCCTTTTTTTTCCCTCCTTGAAGATCCATCCATCCATCTTCAACCGCTTATTCCTTCTTCAGGGTCGCGGGGAACCTGGAGCCTATCCCAGGAGGCATCGGGCACAAGGCGGGGTACACCCTGGACAGGGTGCCAGTCCATCGCAGGGCACAATCACATACACACTCACACACCCATTCATACACTACGGACACTTTAGACACGCCCATCAGACTACCATGAATGTGTTTGGACTGGGGGAGGAAACCGGAGTACCCGGAGGAAAACACGCAAACTCCGCACACACAGGGCCACGGTGGGACTCGAACCCCGGACCCTGGACTTTGGTGTGAGGCGAACGTGCTAACCACTAAGCCACCTGACTGACTGTCCAAACTGACCTGCAGTATGTGACAGGATACCGCTGAACGGTTTAGGGTTAAGGTTTCTTGTACGAGTATCCTACCACGGTAGCTTGGCAGTGCTGGGATTTCAATTCGAAGGGTTCGGATAAAGTGTAAAAGTCCATAAAACCGAACGAGCAGTTAGTCAAAGCACTAAGTGGTGCGGGAATATATTTATGGTGTCGTCCATCTGGTTATGGGTATAACATGTATTCAAAACGTGGTTGAATGGTGTTTGTACATTAAAAAAAAAAAAAAATATATATATATATATATATATATATATATATATATAAATATTATCACTGTAACCCACTGAGGAATTGATTAGATCTCGGAATTGATCCAAACAGGGTGAAGGTCACGGAAAATGTCTGAAATAGTTTGCACAATAGTAGCTTCCTTCCTATTTGTAGTATATTTTAAGGGTATCTCTGGCATACAATATATTAATTGATCATAAGGAGGACTAGTCTTGTTGGGGGCAGAGTTTCGTCTGGTTTCGCGTCTAAACTCTCACGTGCTACTGCTGGTCAAAATGACAGTTCTTTCACAGTCGTCATCGTGACATTTGGAAGTCTAGTATAAAGGTATTTATAAGATAAATCACTCTCTCCCCGGGGAGATAAATGCCACGGATCAAACTGAGACGATTGGCAATGTGCACCAGGAAATATATTTAACGTCACGCCGTAATTTATCGTCGTCCAAACGCCGTTCGCATCAGCTTCTCTGCATCTGATCGTTTACGTCGGATCGTATTATCGATCGGACGACGGTGACGCTCTCTGCTGTACTCTGATCGATCACACCTACGTTACGAGTCGTGATGCACCCGAAATTCTACAAACAAACTCTCAAAGTACAGTTTTGTTGGAAGTTCTTGGTGTAAAATTTATTATTGTTATTTTTTTTTCAATCCTTCCTACTCTACGCAGGAGTTTAATCGATACAACACAATACGCTGTGAGTCATTATAAGGTCGTTCGGGACGGAACATACACCAGGTGCTTCCGCGGCCGTCGGAGGTGGGAACCCGTAGGTATTCGCGACAGCTAGCTAGAGTCATGATGAGTGTCGTGTCTTTTGTCGTCGTCACGAATTCGCAAGCAAAATGGGATTATGAACCAATACAAGAAGGCAAAGTTACTTTTATTTATTTCTTTTTTTTTTTTTTTACTTTTAAAGAACATAAAACAGTATTGTGGGTTTTTAACCACATACACTATGTATTCACATAATACACCAAACAGCTACAAGGAGAGACCAAACAAAAGAAAAACGTCTTCTTTTTTTTTTTCTTCTTTTCTTAAAACATACTGCATACTTGACATGGAAACAATAGAACCAATAACAATCTTTTAACTAATAGGAATGTAGCTGCCAGTTATTTGTTTTTTTGTTGTTGTTGTTGTCGTCGTCGTCATTATTTAATAAGTAAAAACTGGGCATGATCATGATTTTGATGCCGAGTGCTGAGAAGATGGGGGACAAAAAGCATTTGATCTTGAGTGTGTTTGTGTGAGATGGTAAGGAAGGAAGGAATGCCTGGGTATAATCAAGAGAATGGAAGAAAAAAAACAAAACAAAAACAGATAACAGTCTATTCATCTCCATAGCGTACAAGTTAAAATTTTCTACCTGTATAATATCATTGATTCTAAGTGTCTGCTTCAAGTACCATTCTGGGATTAGGTTTTGGGGGGAGGGGGGACGACACCACGAGAGAGAACTGCCAAAACATCCGAGTGCTTTTGAAATCATGATCATCGTGAGCATCGTCCGATATGACTTGAGGAAAATCTGAAAACGCAGTCAGCACCATCGACGTCTCCTATAACATTTAAACCCGAAACAATGGCTCATATAAATGTTTTTTTTTTTTTTTCTTTTTTTCTCGAAAAACAACATAGCTTTTTTTTTTTTGGCTATGCTCTGCATTTCTACAGTGACCTCTACAGGTAGCACCATGGTTAAAAATCGAACGTCTGTCAAATATGAAATCAAGTGGCTTCGAGAAAACACAAACCTGAAACACAACCATCTAAAGAGTTTCGCACCTTAAGAAGAAATTACACGTATGAAACTTGCTATGGTGTAAAATCACATGTCCTATTGAAAATCCGTGTACAGTGCAAGAAACATGCACAGCCTTTCACTTGAACGAGGGCTTTTAAATATGAAATTCGTTGTTTTTTTTTGTTTTTGTTTTAAGCTCAAACCACACGTCTGACCAAAATGTTGTACGGGATTCTGGCGATATCATGTCACGTGACGATATACCGTGTGAAAACCTCCCAGCTGCGTCGCTGTAGGTTTCGTTCTCAAGTCTGTCTGGGCCTCGTTGTTGAAACAGGAAGCTGCTATAGGTGCTTGTTCAGAGGTATCGGTCTAAGTACAGTACTTCAAAAAAAAAAAATAAAAAAAAAAAAAAAAAAAGAACAGCAGTATACTAAGTACAGAGGTTACACAGCAGGGCCCGTAAGTGTCAGAGAAAGAGTACTGACCAGGACCAGCTTTCTTCTTCTAGTATCGAGGGCTTAACATGCTGACGGCTAAAAAAAACCCGAAAAAAAAAAAAAAGAATCGTTCATGATTTTATTCCTCACCAGTTAAATAAATCTTACCTAAATATTTAATTATTTACATTTCTATCTCTCCCGATAAAATTCCGTAAAAAAAAAAAAAAATAAAAAAAAAATTAGGATTCAAGTTGTCAATATTCCATTATCGTCATTCTTTTGCTTCCTCCTTAAAATCAAGATTAAAAGTGCTTTTATAAAATCTTATTCTTCTATTTACAAATCGTTTAAAAATGAAACAAACCAAAAAAAAAAACAATTACAGCAAGCACAGTAACAATAATCGTCATAGTCATTATAATGTAATAAATAATAATCATTAAAAAAAAAAAAAAAAAAAAAGTAGGTAAGTATGCGGATGTAGGTAGGCTGAAGACCTACGGTCTCTAGAGCCCGTGTATTAGTAGCATGTTGTGACTGGGTACAACGTCTCAACATGAGGTAAAGAGCTAGAGGACAGCGTCAAAAGCACCAGGCTGTCTGTGATCTGTAAGCACCAAGAAGCCTACTGCCTTTTGTAAACCAACTGCAGCCCTTCAGCTCTCCCCAACATTTACACATGAACAGAAGCACCTAAATTCTTGGTGTTATGGGGAGATCAGCTGTCGGGGCAAAAGCAGACAAAGAGGCATGGAAAGACTAGCGAGTAGCACCAATCCACTTGAATGGTCTCTCTTTCACTGAAGCTTTTCGACTGTCAAGCTAACTGTCTCACATTCGGAGGAGAGTTCTACGACTCCAGCAGGTTAAAATAGCTAAATTTGTGCTACAGAGCACAGGTCCCACTCTAGGTCGTCTTTAGGGCATCATTAGGGTGGACTAAACCGCAATAGCACCTCGGAGAGAGCATCGACTTACTGCTGTCTCATGGATAGGGATTAGATACTGCACCATGAAGAAACGAGTCAGCACCGTGTGGTTGATGATGAGGATGCCTCAGGCAATGACATCTAATCAGGTCAGCTGACCTTCTCTGCTGTTAAAGAGCACCTTGGTCCGTTGCCGGCCGCCATGACAATGAGGGCAACCAAGGCAGGAAAAACAAAAAAAAGCACCATCGGACCAGGAAAAAGCTCAGCGTTTAAGCGTGGAACTAAGTAGAAAGGCCAGCATCGGTGCCGGGGGTTCTGTCACGACTTGTTTCGCTTACACACTCTGGAGAAGGACAGTGTTTGTAAGTGGGCTAGGCCCATTCTGCAGTCACAGAGTGTCTTGTGTAGGTCGCAGATGTTTAGCTTGCAGTGACCGTTTTATCAAGGTGCTGTTTTATGAAGAGGTTGACGGGTACAAAGGAGGGCGGGGGGTTTGAAGAAGCAAGATTCATTCAACTTGTTCATACATTCATATCGAACAAGCGAGAGTGACGAAGACAAGATCGTGTTCCTCACGAAGAGAGGAGCAGGGGCAAAAAAAAATCTTAAAACATTATGAACACATTATAATGACACTGAGGAAAAACAATAGAATTAAAATAAAAAATAGTCATCTTTATAATATAATAACAATACCTGTAATAACATCAACAGTAACGATAGCAATCATAATATCGATAATAGAAATAATATTAGAATCATTAAATTCACTTAGGGAGGGTAAACTATGGAATCCCTTCCATTTTGGAGAGAACAAGAGCACCATGGGCATTCATTTGGGGGACTCCCAAACTGCCACCAAAACATGAGGTAAAAAAAAAAATTATAATAATAATTATTTAAAAAAAAAAGTCTTTTTATCCATCACCTGTCTGGTTGGTCTGCGATGGGATGGGATACAGAGTAGGGAGAGATACAGGACCATAGAGTGTGAGATTTTTTTCTTTCTTCCAACCTGTACTTCCATTTCCTGCCCCTGTGAGGTCACATGAAGCAACTGTAGGGCCCTGTGACCCGAGTGAAGGCGTAGGGCGACACTGTGACTGTCGTGGTGGTGTGCTGCGTAGGGGCCAGCCGTGTCATCGCTTCCCGTTTGTCCTTGGTTGACTCAGAGGTGGAACTCACTAATCCGTCGGCCCACTTGCGTTTCTTGGCGTAAGCTTTCATGTCTTCCTGTGAAAGACCGAGTAGAGCTGCCTCCTGCTGCCTCTGCCTTGCCCTCTCTGCCAGCAGTTTCATCTTGGCTTCCCACAGTCCCAGTCCATGACAGGGCTGATTCAAATTCTTATGCTGGTAGAACACCAGGGAGATGCGTGTCGGGTGACTGCGGTCTGGCTTTTTCAAGGGCGTTGTGGCGTGTAGCTCCCGTCTGGCACATTCAATGAGAATGGAGCCATGCGCAGGAGCCACTGCTACTCCTCCAATGTTGGGATCCAGAAAGTTGTGCTCGCTGTCCGACCACACCTCCTCCTCTTCGGGCTCTCGTTCACTTTCCACCTCACTATCCCAGCATGCCGCTCCGTTCAC